GACAAAAAAATTAGATCAAGAATCCCCACTATCATGGAACAGGATACGAAGATTACGCTACAAAAATAACGGAAGAATGTCAGCGATAATACTCGGACTGAGAAGATCATTTCGCGAGTACAAACTGTAAAACGACAGAAGTGGATACAAAATAAATAAAGAAAAATTATATGCAGTTCGTGTGGAGGACAGCATATAAAGAAAGATTGTTTCTTTAGGGATAAAATATGTTTTAATTGTGGGTGTGTAGGCCATAGAAGTTCCCATTGTCGGGCAAAACAGAGAAAAGTAAAAGCAAAGTGTCAAACAAAGGTGAACGTAGTTTTGTCTAAAAACGAAATTGAGGAGGGTCAAAGAAGAAAATACCTCAATGTAAAAATAAATGGGCACACCTTAAAATTATTACTCGATTCAGGAAGTGATATCTCGTTAATAAACTAGCAAAATCGGTTACCCGGCCTTGAATAACAGACAAAATTGCCAGGGGAGTGTCAGGAAAAAGACCTAAGTTTAGAAGTGAATTAAAATGTAATATTGCGTTCATGGGAAAAATTCACAAATCGAAAGTGTAGGTGCTCCCTGGTCCAGTAAACCTCTTTGGTTTAGACTGGATCGTATTGACCAGTCCATTACGGTTACCTGCTAGATTGTCCTACCCGGTTACGGTAGTCAACAACCACTTTGCTGCTTCGAACAAATATATCCCTTTCCGGGACATATCAAATGGCAAAATCAAAACAGTTATGCAAAGATGAGAGCACAAATTGAAATTTTATTCAAAGAAGACAACGACAAATTGACAAGAAGCTGGTGATTTCTAGACATGGGGTACAATATTCGTTAAAAAGGCAGTTAGAAATAGGTGCAAATATCGACAGAAAAAGTGCTGCAGCACCAAAAGTGTCAACTGCTTCTGAAAATAATCACTTCATTAATGAGAGCAAAGGAAAAGGAAAACTGCTCAAGAGTTGAAAGCTGAATTTAGTTCCTTTTCCTTTCGACAGCAATCTGTGTCGCTCTCGACTGTAGAAAATCAACTTATATCAGCTGTGATCAGCGGGGTTTCATAGGCATAAAATGCCTGTTGTGGAAGGTAAATAAGCAGAAAAGACAACTATGAGCAAAAAAGCACAAGAACTAAAGACAAGTCAGAATTTGAAGTTTTTGGTAGTAAGAGGGGAATGTATGTATGAAGAAATTCAGGAAAAAATTGAATGATGAATATGTGGTGCCAATAGTTAAGGATGGTGTTTGGTCTGTTATGGTGTGGGGGTATTTTGGTAAGATACAGCTTGAGATTTGATTCAAGGGAATCATGAATAAAAGAGCAATATCATCCAATTTTGTCATATCTGTGTAACCTGATAGTGTCCACAGAAAATCCGCCAATAAAAATGACCTAATATATGTATGTATGTATGTACGGAGAAGTATACGGCGGTGCCTTTTCATTGGCCCTTGAATTGATGAGTCAGTAATTAGAGAGAAGGAGAGATTTCCTGGTAAAAAGATGTTTTTTTTTTTTTTTTAAATAATTCAGTGAGAATTTTTGCTTTGCACCTTTTTTTTGCCTTTGCAACTACTATCATTAATGAAGTCTTTCTTATTCGCTTTTCTTTTCTATCATTGGCAAGTAGTCGGTATTATTCCCCCACTGGGGATAATAAAAGTAGCCAGTATGAACCATAGTTTTTGTGCTATTTCAACTGTCTCCTGGTGAAAAGATGACAGATTTGATTTTCGGTAAGAGACAGTGCGACGTTCCTGTACTGGCCTGAAGACAGTCGTAGAAACTAACGTAGTGACATAGACAACTCGTCCCACTACCTAACAAAGTGTGTGGTCATCAAATACCACTTCGAGTCACATAATTAATCATATGATTTAACGACTATAATACATTTATTTTTTATTTATATTTGTAAATTGTGCATATTTTTATTTTTTTATTTATATTCAGAAAGTTTGTATATTCTTATCTGTATTTATAAAGTGTGCATATTTTATGTATATTCTTAAACTGCATATATTTCTATCTATATTATATATTTCTTAAGTGAGTGTATTTAATATATATTCATAAAATGTGTTTATTTTTATGCACATTTGTAATGCATATTTTCATTTATATTAGTAAAGTATGTATATTTTTTAACATCTTTAAAAATGTATAATTGTCAATTTTTCATTCAATTCAGTTTATTTCCGACCAGATTCTGTCAGTGAAAATTATTCCACCATTTAAAAAAAAGCCTCTCTTTTAAGTCTTGTAAACATAATATTGATAATCTTTTATTAAAATAAGAAGTCGTGACAGGCAGCAAAATTATTTGACTTTTTCTATAAAGCATAAAGGTCAATCTTTCTGGAAACAATTAGAATAAAAAGAAAATGAATTAACTAAACTAGTATTTACCCATCACACAAGGTTGGACTAAAGTGGGGAGCCCAAGCGCGTGCACCTGGATTATGGGAAAAAGTTGCCAGTCTCTGCAACCAACGTCGCGGTGTGGCGTTGATACTTTACCTACCCTCTCTTTTTAGTGTGCAACCAAGATGTGCTGCCGCAGCGTTGGAATACCCGGAAAGAGTCAGCCCTCATTCATTTATTCGCGTTCTCCCCGAAGACAAAAACCAAAATTGAGAGATTATAATTTTAATTACCAATCCAAAATAGAAGGTTACTAATTGACTAATGTTAAATAATAGACTATTATATTTAGAGGAAGTGTATCTCGGAGAGGTTTCAGCGAGTTGGTTGTTACTCGTCAAGCGATGTAGTCTTTTTTCTTTCGTGTCCAAAAAGTTACCTAGCGAGAGTGGATCGACCCCCCCCCCATTTAATAGTTAGATAATGTACATGTGAACATGATTAATAAAAATTCTCTGTATTTAGAGGATTTCATTGCTGAACCAAAAACGATTAGCGATCGCCAACGAGAGAGAGAGAGAGAGAGAGAGAGAGAGAGAGAGAGAGAGAGAGAGAGAGAGAAATACAAAACAAAAAAAAAACGAGCTGAGATCATTGACTGCTGTCAATTTGCAACATATTGTCGAAGCGACACCGTTGACCAGTATGGTTGAAGAATGAGGGTTACAACACAACGTGGAAAAGTTCGGAAAACTGTTCAGATGGAGGACTCAACAAGAGAATAAGAAATAAAAGAAATAAGTAATCAAGACATAAAGACAGAGAGAAAAAACTGTAAGTACGATAATATTACAACGTTGTACTGCTCTCCCCCCTCTCCCCCCCCCCACGCACATCTAGACAATAAACCAAAATAAGAAGTAATGATGAAAAAATTTAAAAAAAAAGTAAAATGTGTAAGCGGACTGGTGTTGTCGCATGTGTGAACGAACAGGTTTTGATGGACAGACAATAAAAGAAAGAAAGGACACAGTATGAACAGTGAACTCTCACACTTAGGCATGCACACTGATGCGACAATGTCAATTTTGGTGAAATATTTTAGTGAGAGACTGGTTTTTGTTTTGTTTAGTTTTTTTACAAAAGTTTAGAATTATTTTGTTAATCGTAATTAACTGACAAATGAATTCTGCTTCGATGTCTTGATAGAGGTGGATTCTGGGTACTATGCCTTGTCAAAGAGTAACACGTGATTTGGTCCCAGGACCAAATACGCTTTTGAATTCAGAATTGTCCTTTTCCTCGACTGATTGGCAAACACGACTAGAAAACCCAATTTGCCTTGCCAATGAGAAAGATTATTCAAAAGTTTGATCTCAAGACGTTGTCAAATTTTTATTTTATTTTAATGTTATTGTATTTGATTTGAAGGAAACTGGAGATCTTAACATGATTTATTATCGGTGGGCGTAATCTTAACAATATAAGATGCACAGATGACACTGTGTTGATGGCCGACTCGGAAAGGAAACTACAGGACCTCCTAGACAGGAGGGTAGAAGAAAGTGTCAAAAAAAGGACTAACCATCAACTGCAAGAAGATGCAATGGAATAACCTGTTACCCCCATGAGTTACTACATATAAGGATCCTTTAAAGCAACAGACAGCAGGGGTTTAGTTGGGAACTGAGAGTACGACTTAAGCGTGAACTACCGACCTTCCACTCACGACTGTATTTTGCGACGACCGTGTGCATAACTGTACTTCTTTTCTTATTGTACTGGTTTCTACAATAAACCTTTTACTTATTTATCCACCGTGTTTGTCAAGTATATATTCCTATTAGCACAGAATATAACATTGCCATCAGCAAATGAAAAAGCCCGAGATTCGAGTCACGAAGATATAAACATGAAGCATATGCAAAAGTTCCAATGAGGATGAGGAAAACATTAAAAGTAGTAGAAATGAGATTCTAAGTAACAAAGAAAATTTTAAAGAAAATGGCAACAGAAAGAACACTTCCACTCAAAATCAGGGAAAAAAAAGCTGAAATTCATCGAACAAATAATGAGGAAAGAAGGATTGTGAAACTTAACCTTCACGAGGCATATTTAGGGCAAGAACGATAAGGGAAAGTAGGGGATCATTTTTTTTATGAGCTTCTGTGAATGGATGGGCGAGATGTCCTGGTTTAAGCTTTAGCAAAGGAAGAAAAATTGCTTAGAACCACACAAGATAGAAAGTTGTGGAGAGCCATGATCGCTTATGTCCTGAAGGGACGCGGAATATAGAAAAATAAGTTTTTATGTAATAATCTTTCTCTCTTCACTCTATCTCCCACTGTCTTCCACCCCCTATATATATATATATATATATATATATATATATATATATATTGCACATTGTTTTTTTACAGTAACCTTCACTCTGTACAAGGTCCGGGGGACTGTCGAAGTAGAGGGTTATGTTAAGGGGTCGTTCATATGTATAAATATATAATATCGAACATAGTCGTGCTAGCGGGGAAATGTATATTTATGAATATATATATATATATATATATATATATATATATATATATATATATACGTGTGTGTGTAATGCTCAAAACATTGTAGAAATTACCTGAAAAAGGCCTCGCCGCCGTCCATCTTGCGCAGCTTGTTCTCCCCAGCCATGAAAGTCGGGTGTTCAATGATGATCTTGACAATTTTCGTCCCTCCCTTGCTGATAGCATGCAGCAGGGATTCCTCAATGCAATTGAAGTTGACATTGTCTAGCAGGATCTCGATTACGTCCAACTTCTCGCTGTCGATGGCCAGGTGTAATGCGCTGCGGCCCATGTAGTCGACGCAATTCACGTTAAATAGCATCTCATTCTCCTCAATTGACTGGCGCACCACTCCAACATCACCCAGAGTGGCAGCATTGAGAAATACGCGTTCTTCATCTGTCAGCTAGGGAAGAAACAATACGAAAGAAAACTAGCTTAGTAAAAAAGAGCAAATATTTCTTCAAACTTCTTAAATATAACACATCAAAGCCGGATACTGTTATATCAGAATTCAAATGTATTTCATTAAAATTGAGAAATTATATTAAAAAAAATACTTTAAGAAATATGTTTTATTTTGGAAATAATAAGTTTATGCAAATTGTAATTGAATTTTGAAAACGAAAACTAGATTTGAATATCGATATTGTATTCTATGGTGTTATATCGACATTGGATATTTTTGTTAGTCTAATAATGTGTACAAGTGATTTCTGTTGAAAAGTATAAATTCTATCCTACAGTGAACATTTATTCTGCAACACTGTATGAGGAACATATTAAAAAACCTAAACAAAAGAAAACGTGTCTTTAATTCTGAGCCGTAAAAATACTAAGAAGATTATTTGTAGTTTAAATTATCACTTCCTAAATCAAAAGCGTAGGTTATAAATTATTTTACCACTGTATTTTGGAAAATCATGACGAGAACTTTAAAAATAAAATATCCAATCAATTTTTACAGCTTTGTATTGATAAATGAATCAATAATGAGTTGAAACTTGCAAGTGTTGTTTTAAAATCAAATTGTAAAACCTCAACAATAGAATAAGAGAATTGCCCTATTAACAGTTATACAGTTTAAGGGACTTCAGTGTTGCACTGAATATGAAACAATGTTTTAGAAAACAGAAAAGAAATCTTTGGATTTGCACCCATTAACACATTATTCTAAGCCATAAATGGCGGTTGAAAGTAAAATCTGTCATTAGAAAAAGAAAACTTAAAATATCATCACTAAAGAATATGTTTCCTCTTCACATAGCTATTTATTGACAATCATATGCAACATACATTTGGGAACTTTGACGTGATGTAATGAGTAGAAAGCTTGGCGCGCTAGATCAATTACGATTGAATAGAAAATTCGATCCTCAGTGGGTGCCTCCTTCTCTCGGCTTTATGCAATATTTAAACTACGCTGAGAAAATCAACATATGCAACATAAATTTGCAATAAACAAATGAAAGTATTTTTTGAGTTTGGACTCTATGAAATCTATGATTTGATGGTCTTTGTTGAGAATAGTAGCTTGATAAAATTATACGAAAAGATTAAAATAAAAGCTTTTTCATTTTGATGTGGAATAGCATACTGTATATATATATCTACGATACACAGACAGGATAAATATTAACAAGGCAAAGAAATTAACGGATCTACCATTTGTTAATTTATATTGAAAAACAACAGTACTAGACAGACAGTAGGGTAACTGTAGCCTAAATTGTTTGGATAGGGTTATTTATTTTCGAAAGGAGTAGAAATATAAAAACCTTAATTAAAGAACGAAAAGTGTATTGTTGAGAATATAAGCACTCTCGGTTTAAGAAGACGCAAATAGGAAGCCTTAAAATATGGATTTCACAGATAGACCAGAAGATAACGTTGACAAGCAAAGAGCATAGAACAGGAAGATCATTTTATAACAGAGAATGAAAAAACATTAATAAAATTATTAGCGTTCAACTTTCTTTGTATTGAGAGCAAGCAATTAGCAAATGAGGTTGAAAAACAACACAAAATCACTTTTTTTTACAAAGCTTAGCAAGGAGAGATAATTCATTAAACACGACTATATTTAACAAGATATCAAATTTTAAGCAGAAACAGTTATATTTTACAAGAAACAAACTAAAGTATAAAATACACAATGAATTCTTTAGGTCACCATTTTAAAATCTATTGTACCGACCACATCACCGCTTAATGAAAGATCAGGAAAATTCTACCAAAGCAATAACATTCATTAACCACCAACAACCAAATAATTAAAGACACGTTTCTTAGGGTATGGATACCTAATGACCAAGAAAAACCTTAAGAAATCAATAAAATTAGTACCCGACTGAATTTATGAAGACCCTAGATAACTGCCCAAAGCAAACATACATTAAAAATCTAATTGTAGATTATTACACGTAAAATTTTAGGCAAATTAGGTAAACATAGTTTTCGCACCATTATCATCATACATCATTTTATTTTACAAATAATTACATTTGTAAGTGACACAAGGAGATAGTAGGAGGCTGGCCAACATTGTCTATCCTACTCGTAGCTAAGCCAATTCACGACTCATTCACTCAAAGAAATGACACTATCGCCACCGGAGCTCATTCCTCTTCATTAAATACGAACTTGTGCCAAAATATCACAGGGAACGTAATAATACACTCATGACTATGAAAGTTTTAGAAGATGGATAAAAATATTATTTTTTAATAAAAATACATCAAAGTTTTCATTTAGGTAAAGTGGGGGTGGAAAGTGAACACATCAAATCCAAATAAAAGATAAACAAAACCTTTAAGCGAAATTCAATCCATGTTAGTGAGGAAACGCCCAATCCAGAAAAATGAGAATGGCCGCTTTAATCTGCCGGTAAAAAGAATCAAGAAGCTCACTCAGTCGTGGCGGAAGTGGGGGGACAATTTGGAAATGGAGAATTGTAAAAGGCTAGTCCAATCAAGATAAAAAGCGAGTTACCTCATAATAACCGAAATAAAAAGAGTAATCTTTAATTTTTTAATTAAAAACATCACATCCATTCTATATCAATTTTACAGAAGATATAGTCGTGCCCATTAAAGCTATGGTTGCGTGAACAGTAAAGCGGACAGCTAAATACGTTTAACCAAAGTTTAAATTTCCTAATAAGTGGACATGGAATGGCAGGCTGACGTTTATGATTTGAAAATAATCAAATAATGCCGACTGCAAAAATACATCCACAGGTCAATATTTACCTTTTCACTGCTACGATTTTTGGTATATGAAATATCTTGTGTGATCAGATTTATAGCTGCAACAAATACTCCATCACTCCATTAACTACTTCCTACGACCATGCTTTGAAAAGCTCTCAGAAGAGATGTTTGTTGAAACCCCATGTAGCTGAATTAGTCTAGTCACAAACCAACGTCGCCAACGATGCGGGCACGCATTAGGATGGAACGGACCCTTATTTGAGAATTTAACACGTGTAAATTTCTTCCTTTATTGTTGAGGTTGACGGTCGATCGGATCTATAACCAATCTGTCTAAAGAGTTACAAACGTGGTAGCGATAGTTAAAAATGGTCATAATGAAGACCGACAGTGTGAAGCCCTCAGTTGGAAACCGTTAGTAATTCTTCCCTCAGTTTCGGATTCGGTTCAGGTGTGTCTTGAAGTATTATTTCACATTGATTCTTTTTTGCTTCTTTCGTTGTAGATCTGTGAAGCCATTTTTTCTCTTCTCTTATCGGCTTCTATTAACATTTAATCTCATTGACACGTCGAATACCTATTAGAGTTACATTACTTACAAAATTGTTAGACACCAGCAGTTTTAACTTTGAAAAAATATTCTGAGAAGATTGATGATATTCTCTCTGACCATCCATATATGTGGCGATGGCATTATTCATCATGAGGAATGGTTACAAACAAAACTGACAAAGCATCGCTTACGAATTGACTCGTTGGATAAGCCTAGACATTTTCCTGACATAGTCGGGCATCACGCAAAGAAAACCACTTTATCATCTCCTGTCCTGACGAATGATCCGCAAGAATATTACCTCTCTTGGGCACGTGAGACCATTTTCAAAATCAATGCTCAACTGTAGATATCTTCCGATGTCCCGTTTCATAAAACGACCCAAAGCCGACTGGAATAACTTCCATTCAATATTGCTCAACAAGCTTCTCTCTCGGCATTCTTTAAAAATAGAACCTCCAGAACAATCTCGTTCATTTCCGAATGGATCGTTTTTTGGCATGGAAAATTTAATCTGAGAACGGTGTTGCATGACTCTGAATTCATAATTGTCCGCATTCGTTGCAAGAGAGTTTAAGAATACCCAAAGAGCAGTTACGCACAGTGTAGTCAAGCCAAAGGTTGAAAACAGCAAATTTGATTCTCGTGAGTTCTCAAAAATCTCAAATAAAATTCTTAATAGAAGCAAAGTGTAAGTTCTAACTGTCATCAATAGCAGTGAGTTTATTTCATCCTCATCAGACAAAATAAGAAAATTTGCAACTAAATTTGTCTGTAATTCTACGTTAGATGATAAGGACCCCCTACCTGACTTCCCCCTTCTCACATAAACTTTGTAATATCACTGTCAAAGCACAAGAAGTTTCCAGACTTATCGAAATCTTTGACTCAACGAAGGCTACTGGTCCATATAGAATCCCGGTGGTTGTTCTTAAGAAGCTCAACCCAGAGCTATCTCTAATCTTGCTAAAGTTGTTTAATCGCTATTTGAAAAAAATATTTCCCACGTCTATGAAAGATCTTAGCTGTCTGACTTGTCTTGAAGAATGCGTGTAAGAGGTCATCCCCATCACAATATCGATCCGTCAGTCTCTTTAGTATCATCAAACAGCAAACACAATCAGGAATAACCCCCTGTCCGACAAACAGTATGGATTTCGTTCTTCTAGGTCTACTGCTGATGTTCTAACTCTCATAAGACACAGAATTAATGAGGCACTCAATAATAAACTCATCATGACAACGATCACCTAAGGTATTTCTAAGAACTTTGACAAGGTGTGGCACAAGAGTTGCTACAAAATCTCTGGAAGAGTCCTCACAATTATCAAGTTCTTCACTATCAATTAGGTCTTTGAAGCTCGTTGTCAATGGACAGAGACTTCTGAAGCACATCAGATCAACGCAGACGTCCTACATGGCTCACTACTTGGTCCTATCCTATTTCTGATTTTTATTAATGAGCTGCCTAAGAACATTCCCTGATCATTGGTAAATATCCATGCATATCATTCCAGTTTGTCGGTG